AACTAGTTTTTATTAATTAGAAGTGTGGCTTTAGTCAAACATAAAAGTTTTGGCTCACTGAAATTGGTACCAGGCAATAATTTACATCTTCCATCGTCTTTATATTTCATCTTACAATATATATGTTCATAAAAAATAAATCAAAATAGAGATGGAAATGTTACTATCTACTACAGATATAACAGTACAATAAAACAAAATGTGAATTCTTTTATGATAATAAGTCCATAAATATTAAATTTTACTTTAAATACAAATAATTTCACTTGGTCTTAAATGAAGTACGGTACTTAAGGAGAAAGAGGGACGAGCAACCATTTGCTAAGAATAAACAAATATTGTAGACAAAGACAGAAGATCCCCCATCAAAGTATAGTTTTTATCTTAACTTCTACAAACATTTTCTTTAATATTCGACTTATTAATACGGCTCATGGCCAGGTGGTTAAAGTGCTCGACTCACAATCTGAGGGTCGTGGGTTCGAATCCCCGTCCAACGAAACATGCTTGCCCTTTCAGCCGTGGGGACGTTATAATGTGACGGTAAATCCCACTATTCGTTGGTAAAAGAGTAGTCCAAGAGTTGGCGGTGGGTGGCGTTAACTAGCTGCTTTCCCTCTACTCTATCATTGATAAATTAAGGGCGGCTAGCGCAGATAACCCTCGTGTAGCTTTACGCGTAATTCAAGACAAACAAATTACCAATCGGCATTTACGTGCTTTCTTAGAAATCATTTATGCACGCAACAGCCTGCAGTAATCAACTAGATTTCGAACAGAATAGTAAAACTTATTGCTATGAAGTCAATTCAATCGATCCATAAGTTTTCAGTATTGTGTTCTTGAAACATGCTGCACCATGTATATAAATAGGATTAATAAGATGTTGAGAAACATATTATTTTTATTCTTTAACTTGCCTCCTACGTGTCTCAAGTATAGGGGTGTAGTTTATACAATCAAGACCAAATGCATAAATGACGTTTGCCTTTTCAGCATGTCTGAGCAAATATGCACCATATGTTTGGGCATTAATGCAGAAAATGATTGCAACCCTGCTGGACTGTTTCCTCGTATTAGAATGATTACTAGTATCGTAACAAGTCACTGATTCTTATCATTATTTGATAAGATAAAGCGTTGAACTTTACATTAGCAATTATGTTATATAATATTACTTGCCGAGTTGTGTAGAAATAAAATTTTTATGTGGTGAACAGGAATAAGAGTAATACAAATACTTCTGTATAGGTGGAAAAATGATTTTTACAGATCCTAAACTTAAAAATGAAGATATTTTATAATATACTACAATATGCAAATTTAATTTAATACGGTTATTTTCGGACTACTGGTGGTTCGAAAGGGTCCTCCAGGTGGTCCGCGGGCTGGTCTGAAATGCAAATCATTGACGCATATCTCCGCGGACGAGGCCTTTCTTCCAAATGAATTCTAATGAATTTCTGCGGCGGTAAGCGAAACCAGTTGAGGTAAGACCGGTAGGTGATTCGCGAGATCTTTTGCCCCGCCGAAGTGGTCTGCGGAGTAAAAAGACGTAGAGCCACTGCACTACGTAATTACAGTTATCCACGATACGTTTTGTGTACTATAAGAGGCAACAGGGTATTCCAAGTTTTTGTTTGTTTGTAAGTTTTAGAGCAAAACTATATTTGGTTATCTGCTGTGTCTTCCGCGGGAAATCGAACCACGAATATTAGCGTTGTAAGTCCGTAGACTTATCGCTGTCTTACTGGGGACAGTATTCCAAGTAGTTCTCATAAAGTTAAACACGTGATACACGCATTTGAATTTTCCAAAAACTTGGATGAATGCTTATGTCATAGTATTTAATTAATAACACTATATAAGAACCAGATGGGCAGACACATTAACGACTGAAGTGGAAAACATATTTTGCAACTAGTTATTAGTCTGCGGGCTTACAACACTAGAAACCGGGTTTCGATACCCGTAGTGGGCAGAGCACAGATAGACCATTGTGTAGCTTTATACTTAATTCCAAACAAACAAACAAAACTAGTTATTATCAGTGAGCTTCTATCAGATCACGAATGGTCTATTGCTTAACGTGCTTTGACTGTATATCCGAGAATTCATGGCTCGTGACCCATAGCCACAAAAACGCTGCACTTTGGGGCCATGGGTGCACTATAAGAGTAACGGTTAAATCCCACTATTTAGTAAAGAAAGAAAAGAGTATCCAAAGAGTTGGTGGTGGGTGCTAATAACTAGCTGCCTTCATTGTAGTTTATCAGTTTAAAATTAAGGACGGTATGTGCAGATAGCCCTTTGTGTAACTTTGCGCGAAAATTCTGAGAAAAAAAACAACAAAAAACTGTTTAATCGAGTCATGAGCAACTTTTTTTTTATCTTAATAAATATTTACTAGTGACGTTCCTCAACACAGGGGGAAAACATAAGGGGTCTGATCTGAGCACCATCCCTCTATGTCGCTCGTCGAAGGGTTGTAAGGGTAAATACCAGGTTTGGTTCACTAGTTCTAAGCAGACACACACATACTTTTGTCAAATAATGGTTTAGATTTACAGGTGTAAGTATACTTTTGCAATCTACTATACATATAGAGCCATGAAACCTCCCACAGGCGGCAAAACAAATTTGAATTGGGGGACACCTTGTTTACTATGTTGAAACAGCGACTTCCCCTGATAACTATACACAAGTCTTTAGTTTCCATTCAAAGGGGCACTTCACTAATAAGTCAAATCTACCCGAGGAAGCTGTAAACTTTAACTCCCCCAGAGTTGAAACTGCAAAAGATTTAGATAGATCAATTATTAATTACAAGAGTTTTATTAGAATTATATATATATATCTGTAAAAATATATATACACTTTGGTGTTGAAAGCTACTATCTCTAACCTGATATAAGCAATAATATTGGAATTGTTTTTTTAGTGTGTTACATTGTATTGTACAAGTTTTTGACAGTATGTAACTCGCCTTCAGTATTTTGTCTTGGTCTTTATGTAAAAGCAATGTAATCTTCTTGTATTGTGAGCAGCATTGTTTGTTTTAGTTTTGGATTTTGAGCTAAATTGTAGTCAGTGGATATAGCAGCTATTCCTTAGCTCAATAAAAAAGGCAGCTTTAATAAAGATTTGTAAATAAACCTGGTGTTTTAACTACAAATAAATCAAAACAGAAGTTTAATTATCGGTTTTGGGTTGTGAGTAAACTGCATTTGTGACCGTTGAACCATGCTTTTGGGTTTTTTATTTACAAATTCCCATAGGACATCTACAAGATCTAAGTCTGGTTTATTGGGTTACATCTGTATTGAATTATAAATTGTCTAATGATACATAAGCTTTGTTGCCTTGATGTTTTCGTTTTTAAATGTAATGGCGGACATATAGGTGGAACAGCCGGGGCGCCACAATGTCGCTCCTGGTACAACGTCTTAACTCATTAGAGGTTCACTTGTGAGATATATAAAATTAACAGAATTTGCTTCCTGAAGCCGTTCTGAGAATACTCAGTCCCAACTTGTAAGACATACAAAATGAATACTTTTAGGACCGTGGGCTCGCCTGATGCACTCGTTAAAAGCCCACCTGAGAACAGGGTCGACACGGCAATTTTCGACACCCATAAGAGCCCACAATTAAAGACCTCATACCTCCATACTCAATTTCAATGCATATTACGCATACACAAAATATCGAAACAGTAATATAACGGTCAAAGCTTAGGGAATTCTGTTTTCAAGGCTAAAGTTAATATTTAATTTCAGACAATATATTTCTATAACATAATTTTTATAACATTATCCACCGGCTAATTTGTCAAGCTCATATCCTTATTTAAAATTAAGCATTTTATAGCCGTATTTCTTTTCCTGATAAATACTTTTTCTTTCATTTAGATAATTAATCAAAGCTTGTTTATGAGTGCAAAATACGAAGAAATTTATACAATTATGGGACCTGTTCTACTGATCCAATGAAAACTATATCGACCCTTTCTTTTTTCATTGACAAAGTACTTTTAGAATTTACTAATTAAACCTTTTATTATTTTGTCACTAGGGGTGCTAGCAATGATAGGACATAAACTATTTAAATCGTGTGTTCATTTGCTTGTATGTGGAATGCGAAAATACTTCAGAAATCTACTCAGTGAATCTGATATTCTGGTATAATTATGTTTCTCAGAACTAGTAGTATCTGGCGGAAAATATAAGACCTATAAACAGTAATGGTTAATTATAAAATGAGCTTTAGTTCTGTAGAGCAATTTAATCTGTATTTTCATAATTATTTTTAATAATAAATAGACAGTTGCTGTAGAGACAAATGCATAGTTATTACAAGCAATTGTTTGCACAATGCCGCATATTTTCTGTTCTCATTGCAACTTTTGAATAGCGATGCAAGTTAATAAAACGATTTGTAATTTGTTTAATTTGTGTAACCCTTTTTCAGTCAAGATTTATCAATTTAAATTGCTCGTACGCTGTGAGATCATATGGTTTATGGATTACTGATGCTTTAGATTTATACAACAGAATGCAACATTTTATTTTATGCTACTTCATACTTTATTATATGGGTTACTTTATACCTTATCTTCAGTTACCTAGTAGCACTCCAGTAGCTCAGCGGTATGTGTATGGACTTACAACGCTAAATACCGGATTTCGATACCCGTGGTAGGCACAGCACAGATAGCCCATTGTAGAGCTTTGTGCTTAACTACAAACAAATAAAACTTACATAGGAAAGCATACAAAAATATTTCATTATGAAATATAGCAATTTTATTGATTGTATATTATAAGTATATACAAACTATAATAGTTTTTTAAATATATTTCATTCTGACTACGTGCACTTCTGAAGCGCCAGAATGTCCATTTTCACACATATAAATACACGTAAGAGACATAATTATTATATTTACCGTCACTTTTTTCATTTAAAGTAAAGATGAAATATAAAAATATTGTTCCTACCTATTGTTATGTTAAAGATAACTTTGAACACAAGAACAATGATGAAGTAAGGGGAAAACTATCAATATGTCATACCCGCTGGTTGGTAAGAGCGTTTCGTCAGAGAAATTATATTGTGTAATCCTAATCACAAGCAAAATATTCTGTCGAGTAGAAAGCTAGTGGCGCCAAGTCAGCATCTTCACAGAGGAGTAGCAAAGGAGTCCACGAGAATCGATACACCCCATCTATTTCAAGTTGCATGGAAGATTAAGCTATTGATCTCATGAACACACACACACACAAATTTATATATATATGTATATATATATACAGTGGGGAGGGGGCTGCTTGTACTTCCTTACAACGTTTTGAAGAATGAATAAAAAATACTCCCATGATATTGTTTTCATCTCATGAGTGCTGGAGGGGGAGGATTTATAGCAAAATTCGATCGAAAATATGAGTTAACCTTCTTGAATTTTATTCTAGAAAAAAACTCTGGTTGATGGTTTAAAAAAAAGTAAAATTGTCTTTAAGCAAATATACCAATGTGTTAATTTCGAAAACCTATATTTTATTTCGATACATATAAAAATACAAAGTTTACTAAAATCAATATGTACTGTAACAGCTTGCTTGTGAAGCGCTGTAAAAACTGTATAAAAAGGAGACAAAAAAAATAAGCAGAAGAAGAAGAAAATAGTATTAAATGTAGCTGTTCTGGATCAGTTATTCACCGGTGATTTTTTTACTTTTTAAAGAGAAAGTATGATTGTTGTGTGTGTTTTTATTACTGCTGATTTTAATGACTATACGGTAGGAAAAGAAATTTCTTACGACATATGTAAATTATGGATTATGTCTAAATGTGTGTAATGACAAGTTTAACTATGCAGTCAAAATCACTCTCAGGAAAGGCACTACAAGATTATATTGCTTCTAGGGACTGTAATACATTTGTACTTATTATTATACACGTGACTAAACGTTCTTTAGATTAAGGTTATATTTAAAAACCTGCATAGCTTATACTATTAG